ATTTAAGTATTATAAAAGCATTTTTTTCATATCGATAATTTTTATGGATAGAAGTGTTACTTCATGTTTTTGATGATGGGTACATTGCAGAAAGTTAAAGTGAAAGGTTTGAAACCGGCACAGCTTTATGAAGTGGCAGTTCGAGCCGTGAATGCGCGTGGGTTGACATCAGATTATTCGCGTCCATCATTATCAGTCTACACAAGAGATGAGAATGGTGTTATTATATCAGCTGTGAGTCAAAAGGTCTGATATTGATTGATGCTTGAAGTGGAGGTTCGAAAAAACCCGAATAAAAAATGATGTCTTTAGACGTTTTATTGATCGGTTTCATTATCCTTGCTATGAATTTTGTCTGTTTAGACTATTTCATAGCTACGACATTTAATTGTTTCCATTCAGACGGCAGTAACATTCTTTTTTTTTTGTTTGTATCAGAATATTTCTGTGAAAGAAGATCCCTATATTGTTTATAGGAACCATGTGATGCTCTCGTTACCAAATGTGCTTAGTTCCTTCTTTCCATCCCACCATAGAAGAAATGTGCACATGATATGCATTTTGTTTGCGGTTATCGTCAGACGCTCTGAATGCAGCCACTAACTTTGAAAGTTTTAAATGATTAGTTTAAACTCGGATCTGATTTCAGAAGGATGCATTTCCACGATCACTGATGATTACGTTCTGTATTGGTGGTGCATTACTGCTTGTCATCAACTGCTTATTGTTATGCTATATGCAACGTCATCAGCGAAAAAAGAAATTGCAAGGTATTGAATTTGATTGCTGTGTGAGTATCACTGATTTATATTCATAGCAATAAGTTATACTCATACATTACCAGAAAAAACGGAAATGGTACGTAAAACGAACAATGCGGGTGGCGACGTTAGGCCAGTTCAAATGTATGGTGCACTAACGAATACAGATGGTATCTATCGACCGGACTCAGCAAATACGAATCGCAGTGAGCTTGCCTATGAACAACCTTCTGAAGACGACCAAAGCGTACGCACCATGATTGTATGTTTAGGCGATCCTATCCCCTCCTGTCCCGCCGTTATTTTTAGTTATACCTCAACTCATCACATAGTTCTCTTCATATTTTGTCATTTATTTCTTTAAACTTATTTGTTCTGTTATCATCTGTGATTTGTTGTTTTTGAACGGAGAAAATGGTAGCAGAATCGCTGATGTATTAAGAGATGGAAGGAAATTTCTCATGATCCGAATCGCACTGTTGCAAACTTTTAATTGAAATTGTTGTTTTTGGAATTCATTGCATTGATGAGCGATTTGATGGATCATTTTAAAGTGCGTCTTTGTAAGTATTAGCCGTCCAACAAACTCATCATTGCGCGAACGAAAGTGCGCTCTGTTCAAAGGTGTCTCGATAGCAGCAGTTGTTGCTTCGTCTCACTGTTGTAAATTTCATGTTAGGAGCCGAATATGCAGTAGTCACCCATCGTCATTCTCATAGCGATTTTGCAAGTAGATACTGGAAATGAATGTCTGATCTCATCAGCGTTTACAATTCTTTTGTAAATGCCCCGAAAATGGCTGGAAAGCATGCATTGCAGTGCTTTGAAAAGTCAGACTTTTCATCTTCACGGAAGCTGAAGAATTTAATTTGTTTGTTGTATATAGTCAGACGTGTAGAATCGAAGTGTGCAATCAGATTTCTTCTCTCGCTACCGGTTTTCTGCAAAAATCAAACACGCAAAGTACCAAATTGACATGTGAGCACTATTTCTTCCAGATCATTGAAGAGTTCAGTAAGCTTAGGAACGTTTACTTTGTTAAAGCCCCAAAAATAATGAAGAGAATGGTGAACGGATGTACAACAGCTGAAGGAATGCAGAAGTTAGTAGATGAAGTGCAGATAACTAAAGCGAACGAAAGCGGCGTGCCCAAGAAGGGGGGAGGGGGAGAGAGAGAGGCGCAGGGGTCACTCTCTTCCCATGTGAAGGACGGAAAAAAGGGAATAGAAGAGGGGCGAAGTAGTAAACATAGATGATAGAAACGACTCAAAATTTAGCTATTTCTTGGACCAGATCATTTGCAGTTCTCCGCCTCCCCCTCTCTATGGACGAAATCCTGGCTACGCCACTGGCAAATGATTTCTTCGTTGAATGTACGCATGATCTGTTGGTTATGGGTATCATGTGTGCTCCAAGGAACATCCCCTTAAACAGCACCACGGCCATAGGTGATAGGGAAAAGCTGATTCCAATTTAGGCTTCTGCGTGTGTTAATGGGAATAAGTGGCATATTCTTCAGCTTGTACGAGAATGAAATGTTAACTTTTTGCCAAAATTCATGTGTACGGGCCCCGTATTTGCAAAAAAAANAAAAAAAACCTGAAAAAAGGGGTGAAAAAAAAGGTGAAAAGTTCATATCCGGATTCTGCGTGCAAGCCTGCCTTCGAAAATGACATTCTCGTCTTTGCGTGATTTTTCTTGTACATTGTAATCGGCTTAATTGTTGATTTGTGAATACTGAGGAATGTTTGGAAATTGGCCTTGTTGTATTTTATCCGAGAGCAGAATGTTCAGTCAGAACTGATGCAATGGAGCAGTTGTTGAAGACGGTTTTGAAACAGATGTTTGCTAATAGGCTGTTGAGTTTTAGGAGGTTAATCCAAACGGATATGTGCAACAGCAAATGGATGCGAGTGGTTTTTATGATCCAGACTGTCTTGTTGGATATGGATTCAATCGTTTGTTTTTTAATTGTTGCGGTGTTATCTGCATTGATCGAGCGACGCTTTCATCGAACTTTCCTTTTTTCCCTCATTTTTGTTGAAAGAAGAATGATGATAAGGTGATAGGTAGGCATTAAAGAAGGAAAACAATCCTGTGAAAACGTATACTGGCTGCTCTGGCCTCAGCCATAGAGCGAGAAATTTTTATGAACTTCCGTTATTCGAAAGGATTTCAGTATTCGAATGTGTTTGGTTGTATTAAACGTTATTAATAAAACTATGTTATTGTACTATTATAGGTTTATTGATTTAACATCATTTTTTAAACTTTTATTACTGGTACTGTTACTTTAGATAAGATGGCACAAAATGGAATTCGAAACGATGCTGCGACATATGCAAATATGTCTTATCCGGTAACTAAGATTCTTTACATTATTTCCATTGTCCAACATTTTCTTGGAAGTTATAAATGACTTTTCTGTCAACTTTTAATGCTTTCCCACAAATTCAGATATGCACACATGGGTTTGCTATTATAATTTTTAGTTGAGTAATGTCATACTTACGAATGCAAATACTTCCTGTACGAAATATTTATTTCCAATTGATGCGTTCATTCAGCTGCGTTCTTTAATGAATGAGTTTATCATCAACTCGTAGTTCCAAACCGATCGGTTAATACATTTGTTGTCATACTGCATCCGCCTTACCGTCTGTCATTATTAAACTCGGTTTTATTATTTTCATCACTTGAAGTGCTTCTCGTTTACTAACGTACATAAATAAGTAGTGAATAAAGCATCAGTATTCATCAACTGTTTTGAAGGAACCTCCAATAGTGGATCAAGTCTCAATTGGTGCACATTCTAGTGGTTATTCGGAGGGGAATACACTGACACGTAGCAAAGAAGTTGTGATAGGCTGCTCGCCACGACGGATCCGTGTACCACGAGTGATCGATAGCACTTCATCGCCGATAGTAACAAACTATCAGACTGTCGGAGGATGTGCACCTGGTGGTGCTGGTGCCAATAATAATACAGTTAGTTCTCAGATAATGAGCACTTTTATGCAACCGGGTGGGGTGCATACGACACCTCTTGATTATTCGCATATTGATGGTGATCTGGTATAGGTTCTGGTTTTAACTTTTCATTCGCGATCATCAAATTTTATTGTTGTTATCACCATTGTTTTGTCGTTGTTGTTGTTAACTTTATTACTGCTCTCATTGTTAATATTCAATTTTTTAGTCATTTTTATTTGAGCTCTATTGACATTAAAAATCTCACTGTTTACGTTTTTATTGTAATGTTCATGTTGTTACTTTTCGGCCGTAACTTTGTTGTTACTGCAGCGTATAACATTTTTGATGCATTTAATGGTGCATCGCGGATGTCGCCAATATTGTATAACATCTCTTTTCACCGTCTGAAGCACTGAAGATTAGTAACGTTCCTCAATTTGTTGTATTTTTCACTCGTTTTCATAATTCCCGAATATTGTTGCCTTGTTTACGTTTTAACTTTCTATAAACTATGTATAACAGTTCTTGTAGAGCTTTCATTGTAATTATATTTTGTTCATTTTTTGATGTACTTTGCTAATTTACCTTCAACTTGTCAACAATCCAGCAGTTATGAATATCTCTGGGAATATTTAATCTACAACCAAAACAGTTATCCATATAAGTTTGACCACAGTTGGAACACTCATTTTCTTGTATATGTTCTCGTTCTATTAGATTCGTGCAATGTGGCTGTTTTCGAAGTTCAGTAATGTGAGGACAATTGTAACCTTTCACGGAGTGATTTTGCTCTTCCTGTAAACAGTTGTTGTCATATTTTGAACCTTTCAAATTCGAATTATCAATAAGTTGACGATTAGTTAATTTATGCATAAATTAGGTTGTAGATTCTAACAGACTCCTCACGAATCAGATTATCCATGCTTTAAATGTACATATATATATTTGCATTATTTCCAAATTATCGGTGCTAACTAGTTGAATGCGCAATTTTTGTAATGGAAATCTCATCTGTTAACGAAACTGTTTTCGCTTCATCTGATTTACGCTTTAATACAATCACGTAATGTTATATTATCACACATTTTATTTCATTCCTTAACTTTTATTATACTTTCATAGTCCGAATTCTACACTCATCATCGCTACTGTTCAGTTCAGTTTAATTTATTTTGCACAGTTCTTCATTGTTTCAGTTTGCATTCATCACGTCTATTCATGTACAGAAGATATTTTACTGAAACTTCTATCACGCCTACGGCATTATTCTCTGTATGAGAGTCAAATCATAGAACCTTTGAACTTCCATCTACTCATATTTAATTATGCTAACGTCCAGCACATTTGGACTGCAAAATAATGATCAGTTTTGTGTGAATAGCTGTAACGACAGATTTTGCACTGATGTTAATATGCCTTCATAGTCTTCTGGTGGTTCAAAGTTGTGCCGTTTAGGCCCACAATGGCTGATTTGCTCAGTTCTATTCTCGTCGTAATCAGTTGATGAAAGCAGGAGTGTGTTTTTTGTTTTTCGATGGTCATTAGTTGTTTTAACCAAAAAACGAATATGTTTTCATTATGATCATCAATGAAGCGCAATCATCATTCTTTTATTGCAATATAAAGGATAAAGAATATTTTTTATAGAGGCATAGATTTGGCTGTACTTCTATGACAAAATAATAAAACTAAATGTTGCCTAAATTCACCACTGAAATATTCGCGTGCACTTTGCTGAATATTATCTGTGACCAGCTTTGAAAGGTTTCTTGAAGATCTTAGACATACATATACGTTGCATGCCTCACGTAGAGTTCGATGGATTATTGACTTTGCTGACATGTGGCAACTTATTTGGAGTGAACATTGCTTGATTAGTGAATTGTTGGTTAACCTTATCGGAACGTGGACGGACGGTCAGAAATATGTTGTGCAAGTGGAAATCATTCCAAAATAACCACAAAAGTAGTATTGGCCAGTTATACAGGTTGAATTAGAAAAGTAGTTCTGTTGAATTGTCAAATTTTAATTTATTTATTCGCTTGAAAATACCTGTACAAGTTTATTACAGTGATAGCGGTGTGGTGAATACATTACCCCAACTAATATTGGGGAGAGTAGAAAAAAGCAGGACGACCGAAAGAGAATACAATAAATAAGGAAATAATGTGAAGAGAATAAAATAAAAAGATAAAAATTGAATCATACAATGACAAGGCTATCATGTGAGGCACACATTATCATATCGTTTCGTTGGCAGATCATTCTTATATTGTTAGGATAACATATCTTGGCATAAAATACAGACGTAACGTAAGAAGTAAAGCAATCGAAAGAGGATTCAAATAGTATAATGAATTAAAAAATGAAAAAGAGATAATGCGAAGAGAATAAAGAATACAATAAATGAAAAATGAATTGTAAGTGATAAGATATCATGTGAAGCACACACTGTCATATCGTTGACATATCAAGCAGATCATTCTTATAATACCCGGATTGGTAGCATCACATATCGAGAAATAGTTCGAATAGCAATATTAGGAATAGTTCTGGAAAAAAAATTTAATAAGGGCAGATGTAGAGTAAAAGAACAGAAAATATAAGGAGCAGAAAACAGAGTAAAAGAAATCGTGAACATTTTTCAAATTGTTCGAGCTAACAATTTATCCGGATTTCATCAAGGATATGAATCCGATTTCATCGGGATCGGAGTCTGCTTTTTAATATATGAAGCGATTAGGGGGAGGCAAGGTTTTGTGGTAGTAGGGTCCAGACTCTGAAAACTCTGATTGGGAAGGGAAATTTTGTATTATTTAATCTGCAACACTTAACGGCGAGATTAAAGGAATTATTGTGGCGAGTTCGTTCACCACTTGAGGAAAATTCGAAGAATTCATACAAAGGGAGATCTATTTTACATTGAATGATGTTGTAGGGCACACACAGGTCCGAATAGAATATTCGCAGTTCTAAACTCTCCAATCCTAATATTGTTAGTCTGTCCTGGTATTTGGGTACATTACGAAAATTTCCACACAGCCTTTTAAAGATGAAACGAGTGTCTTTTTTGAACATTTTTAATGATATTAACCTTCTGTTTGTCACCGTATGGATCAGAGGGGAACCAAAGGGATGAACCATATTCGAGTAGTGGATGATGATAGGATTCAAATAATCTGCTCACTAGCGATAAATCTTTGGTGCTGAACGATCTCAATATGAGAGATGCTCTTGTGTTTGCTTTTTTGATTATGGTGGAGATATGTTGGTGAAATTTCAAGTTTGAGTTTATTATAATGCCCAGGTCGCGAACGAACGAGAAGGTAATTTACTCGTGGTTCTGAATTTTGAGAGGATTGCTAGGATTATTTCTACAAATTCTAATCAATTTGGTTTTTTCCGGTGATAACGTAAGAGGCAATATAATGACCACTGGTTTATGGAGTCAAATATCGCTTGTAAGTTGTTGGTGAATGCATAGACCTTAACATCGTCAGCAAAGATAAAACATGTTGAGTCCGGAGGAGGGCACTCAGGGAAATCATTGATAAAAATGAGTAAGAGAAGGGGTACCAGAACTGAACCTTGTGAAACATAATTGTTCTGGTGTATTGACGGAGTCACCAATAGGGACTGACTCGGAGCGGCTTTTGAGAAAGTCCCAGATCCAGTTGAAGCGATAGCCTCGTATGCCATAAGTTCGTAATTTTAAAGAGAATTTAGGTATTGATACCGAATTAAACGCTTTTCTATAGTCCAAATATAATGTATCGATGAAGCCCCTTTGTCTAAATGAGACACTCAAATTCGGTAGGATTGGAGTAGAACCGCTGTGGCTGATGTTTTATTGAGAAAACCATATTGGAAAGGGGAAAACAGCTTATTATCAATAAAATACCTTTGTTATAATTCTGCTGACACAACCAAAACCTCCAGACAACCGTTTATTCCGTCTGAATAAACACACACAAAGAATGTCCAAAAAGTGCGAGTATTTATAGAATAATTTTATACAAATTCTTACTTAATTTATTCAAAATTCTTTACTCAAATTTACTTATGCAATATCACAAGCTTCTGAGTTTGGACGCAATTATTTTTTCCATAACTTTGGAAATTGAGCAAGTTAATGAGATGGGACGATAGTTTTGTGGGTTCATTTTGGGGCCTCTTTTGTGTATGGGTTTGATTATTGCTGATTCCACCACAAGGGGACAGAGCCAGCCATCGGAGATCTGCAAAATATATGACAAGGTGGAGTTGTAATAGTATGGGCGGTCATATGTATGGTATTCCATCGGATGATGTATTATTTTTGTTGTCAAAAAAGTGTTGACAAATGAGATTTATTTCCAATTTTAATTTTGAATTCTTTGACTGCATACGTAATCTGCAATGTAGATATCGGCGAAATTTCTGTGAACTCGCTTTGTACATCACCTCGTTTATCGTGTACCCAGACAACAGTATTGGTGCGCGTGAATGAATCAAATGACCTAAGAAAGCAAGATTTTCGCCGCACTTAGAAAATTTTTAGCTCATCTTTTCTGATAATTGATCGTAGACTGTGTCAGTTTTCAGGTGATCACAAGAAATTGAGAAGTCAATTTCTCAGAAGAATTTAAACAGTTCCATAAGAACGTCACTGAATTTCAGTGACTTAATTGATTATGATTGAAAATTAGGATGACAATTTTAACTGCGAGAAGAAACGAAATTCTGAAAGTTGCAGTTTCCTCAAGGAGATGCCTTTGAGCCCAGAAATAATCCATGCGTAATTTCGTTACGACAAAAGAAGTCTGACAGATGATTGGATGCTAATGTTTTTTTATGTAAGGCGCTGTAGTGCACAAATTTTTAATTTCCATTATTTTGTTGGCCTCATCGTGCATTATGATAGCGTTGGATAGTTTTTCGAGGAAAATTTGATTGAATGGTCGCGTCATTTATATTGCGTAATCAAGCGAAAAAAAAAACAATTTGAGCCAGCAATATTTTCAACTAATTATCCAAAGCAATATTTCACAGAAATTGTTTATAAATTTTCCATTTTCATCGTCTTGCAAAAGAAAATTGAGCATTGGAGCAATACGATAGCTACAAATTGGGGATGTGTTAACTGTCAGTTCATTTTCATTTTCTTTTCTCATTTCATGCAAATTTCGTATTGATTCGAGCGATGTGTGCTGTGTTGCATTATTTCATGGTCAAATTTCTCAAATACTATGGGTCTATTTGATTGTGAGATAACAGTTATCATTCAAGTGTGCATTTATGACGTTGGCTAATATTTTCGTATGTAAACTCGAATATTACGTCAGAATATTAAATAAGAGAAACGACATATTCATTCGAACTTCCTCTTAAAATAAGCTGACGGAAATTAAGAGCCAACAATTTTGTGTTGAAATTCTTTGTGCAGCCACCACTGAAATGTGGTAAACTTCTTGAAAATGAACGATCTTGTCTACTCATCGATGATTTCTTCACGTGAATTTGAGTGTTCCATCAAAGTACTATGAAAGTAATTCAGCAATGTTGAGTGCACGAGCTGTCATGCTGGGTGCAGAAGTAATAAGGCTTAATGATCGCATAAACGATTAAAGTAAAATAGATCGCATGCATTCTTGGTCGCTATAGTAACATCGATGGGCTTGTGAAACGTCACGAGCGCATGTTATCAATGTGATGAACAGTAGTGGTTTGTTGTGCATTATTACCACTAGTAATAGTGCATTATTTATTTTAATCATTCATTTGTATTACTCTCAACTGAATAATGCATTACCTCTTGTTCATTATCGACAAACGCTTCCTTCTGATCATTTACAAGTGAGTTTTGTTCTCATTAACAATAAGTATTCATTTTCAAATTCTTTTTGCATTGCTGCTTCTGCATCTGATTCAGATTCTTTTAATGGCTTATCCTCATAAATTCGTCCGAAATCCCGGCCTATAATCATTCCGCTACAAATGGGAGTTCCAGCAAGAAAAGTACGAAGCATCTCATTAGAGCATTCAGTGAATTTCCAATCGCAAAATTCCGATCGACAACAATTCAAACGCATCACAATTCAGGTGCACTCATACAATTCCAATGTTACAATTGATGCGTCAACAGTTCATGTTATATCGGGTGAATCCCGGATTGATCTCACCGAACACTCGATTGACGGTCACATCTGGTCAATGAATTCTGACGTTAAATTTGAACCATACGGAACTATCGAGAATTTGTCATTAGTCGATGACGTTCGTATACTGCTGAACATGCTGAACGCTAATTTGTCAGCAAAGTCAAACGAAATGCAGGTTATTGAGACTTTCGCTGGAGTGCACCTGCACGAGTTTTATTACAATAGTAGAAAAAGGATCGTGCAGTGCAAATCAACTTTGAAAGCCTATTTTAACTCTTCCTGATTAAAATCTATGCGAAAAAGCTTCGTACGTTGTTGGTTCAACCGCCTAAAATTCATCGCTTAAGTTGTTAAACGTGAGCAGTTCATTACATTTTTAGTGGATATGAATCAGCTGCATAAATACTTCATCTCTCTTTTAACTTCGGCGATATTCTGCAGCATTCTGTTTAAATCAACTTTGTCTAATCTGTTTGTGATGTTCAACTTTTTTCCTACTCATTTTTCAGTCGATGATTTTCATTCAATTTAAACTAAAGCATTCTTCAGCCATACCTTCCAGGTTTCCCTAGAGTCCAATCGCACAAGTAATGGTCAGTCAAAAGTAGAAGTACTCGCTCAGCTTAATATTAGTATTATGCTGTCAGAGCCAGAGGCGCATCTGGAAGTGTCATCTGCCGTGCGCGCTCATATCACAGTCTTGACGTGGCAAGTTTCCCTAGAACGACGCCTCACAATCACTTCAAACATCTCCTCAACAAATTCATTACGTCAGCTTTTTATCACATCTGTAACTAACAACTACAATTTGATGATAAACGTCGACAATGCGAAAGTATGTGAAATGATAGTTATTGCATTGTGATAATCAGAAGTATGCACTCAAAACTGCGATGCGAAATCGTTTCATTATTATGCCTTCGATAATTCCTTGATTCTTTTCTTCAAATCTTGTTCAATTTTCGTTCATGTTATTTGAATGATGAGGATCAACTAGTCGTTATGTTTATAGGTGAGCGTTTATTACGGTAAAATTTATGTGGAATTGGCTAGCGATTACCGATCATTGCGATTAATTTCACCCGGGCATACGGTAATTTTGAAAACAGTATTATCTCCGTTCGATATTTTCGTATCATCGCATGAGATGTGGATTCGATGTGTTGAGGACAATACGGCAATACATGCCCGATTCGATTCACCAACTGTTAACGTGGAATTGCAGCAGTATTCTCAGTTCGTTGAATCAATTTTTGAATCTTGTGCTTGAACGCCTCATTGACTAACGATTTTTTGTTACATGAATGTACTTTTAACATTGTTATGTATTTGCTTTTATTGAAGTATTTTTTTGCTTGCAAATTCGTACATAATCGAACGTAATATGAATAATTTCGAGGAGAATGATTCCAGTGACTAGTATCAGCCAAAGTTGCCTGTTCGAAAAGAATGTAACATACAAATCTTGTTTAGTTAATGAAACGAGAACGATATTCATCAAAATTGTTGTTGTCTAAGAACTCATTTGAAGAGCATTTATCGAGAGGCGCGATGGACAGTTTACAGTTGGAGGCAGTGAATTTGAAGGAGCTAATCAAATTCAAATCACATCAATGCAGTTAAAAATGATTCTCGAATCAGACCGCATTAATACTGTTCGTGCTTTCGCGAATCAATCTGAAATTGTCATACATACGAATTCGACGAAGGTTATTTCAACTTCATTGCTTTCATTTTCTCTTTCGTTGTGACTGAAAGTGATTACAAAAGTAACATTAATCATAATTCTTTGATCAGTGCTTCTCAACATATATTAGTTTGCGGAACTTCCACTGTATTTCGGATTAATTGCTAGTTACTCGTTCGATTTCCAAGGTTTTTCTTTTTCCGACATAGAATTCTCAAAAGAATGAACAGTAGCTGAAATTTGATCAGCTAAAACTGTTTCTTATGAAACCAGAATATTTTATTTATCAGTTTACTGCCTTTAGTTTTCCTTATGATATGAAATGCGGTAATGCGAACAATATTGCATAGATCGTACCATCGCAATTACTCAGTAACTAACTGCAGATGACTTCGACCGCATCACATCACGTAGCCAATATCGTCGATGGCAGCACGGACGTCCGTCTTATAACTGGTAATATTTCGATTGAGATCAGCACAAACATTCAGCAGGTTCCATTGCCGACAATGAACTCACTTTTCACTCCGCCAATCGATAAGTTCGCAACTGTTGGACCAACACATACAAATATCGTATCTGTCACAAGCAGATCAGCTGAAGCATCTTCATCTCAAACAGTCACTGATAATCAGTTTGTTACCGCTACGACACCCAGTTACGGTATATCTGATTGCGATAACTGCATTTTTACGACTAATCCACCTCAAAATCATAGCTCGGAAACGAATGCGGTGTCGGATAATCCGTATGCAGGAATCACTCTCACGGTGAGTGAATTGAACACGGAGGTATCATCTCCTGGAAAGACTGATGGACCGAGTTTGATCGATTATACATCAGCTGATACAGTTACGACTATGATATCGAATCAAAGTGCCATATCTATTCCAACAATGATTCAAACCGATAATGTGAACGATCGAGATGGGAGTGAACAGGCAACATCTTCAAAGAGTATCACGGAAGCAGAATCACTCACTACTGCAACAAATGAGAACATTCAGATCGTTCACAGCACAGAGCAATCGAATGATCTACATCAATCAACAATATCAACAAGTGAAAAAGTCGGTCTTACAAATAAACAACCAATAACCCCATCCTGTAATGCAACCAGCATCGATACAGTGACGACAGTTCAGTCAAGCATTCTATCATCTGAAGATTTTCATAGCAATCAGCAGTCAACTGAGGTCATCACAAGCACACTGTCAATAAACGAACAACATAGCATCAGTAACCGTCATGAAACGACAATCACAGAAACGATTGAATATACTCAATTCATAGACGATAACGGTAGTAATAGTATAGCCTCGTCTCTGGAAGCTTCCACCGAACAGCCGCAGGCCCCTTCGAGCAGCGTACTGGAGAACAGTAAGCTTGTTATAATTTACTGTTTACATAGATGTGACAGAGCAGCAATTGGTTTTTGTTTATTCATTGAACAGCAGAGTTGAACGATGCGTGTTGTATCTTCTTTGAGTGAGCGTTCTATCCAGATTCAGCATAGGGCATGTTTCACATAAAAAGGAATTACTATTGTGCTTGTGTGTGAATTTGCCAACTTCATCAGCATTTTTTCTCCAGTAAACGGTTGTTTATTGAATTGCATTCTTTTGCAGGCACAGTAGAAGATATATTTATAATTGGACAATTTGGAAGTGGTAATTATCTTTTATTATGATAGCCGTCATTCTTTTCACTCGAATCAGAATAAGATGACGAGAGGCAATGAATTTACTTTCGTAAAAGATGACTTTAAGTGCGTAAAACTGAAAATACTTGAAAATGAAAAATTCTTGGAACCTTGAAAATTAGTGGCATTCAAAATTCAAATTGCTGATTCCGAATTCCTTGTCCTTTCTGTATTTGTCCTGTGAAGAAATTTCCGTATTTCATCAACATTTTTTTTTCAGTGAACGATTCCTTCGAAATCATTCAACGAAATCCTAGCATTGCAACTGATAGCAGTTTATCATCTTCATCCGAAGGAATGGTATCTCAGGTCGCTGCTGTGCGATATATTCTTAATCACAGTTTGGAATTTGATTCAGCACAAGGAGCTGATGCCATCGGGAAGAACAATGTAGGTACTGAACTGGCATGGAAAAGTTATGATGATTCGTCGATTTCAAACATCAGTTCAGCTACTTACTCAGGAATTGAATATGCCGACGTCGAACAAGCATCACAATCATCAAGTGACGATCAATTGTTTGAATTGAATTTGCGAGTGTCACGATCGGTCAAATTGGACAATGCGCAATTCCATGATGATTTATCATTGGCATTGAAGGATATCATCGAAAAACTTTTACAGAAAAGAAATAAAAGGAGTGCTGCCGATTCCATTCAACTACCTATAAAGGTTGTTCATATCTCGATTGTTCATCTTGAAATACGATCACTATTTTTGCGTCAGATAATCGTCAACTGAAACTCTTGTCAAGAATCTTCTCACTAAGCCACATCAATGACACCAAATGGCTTTGCATCATTCCCACTTGTAGCTTTTTGTATGAGCATAATTCTGTTTGCAGATAACAAGAGCGTTACGAAACAATAATGATGAAGAGGTTTCTGTGCACTTTGTTGTTGCAAACAGTAATGAATTCGAAAATCTAAGTGAATCACTGAACGAAATTCTTTTCAATAGTTCCATGCTGACAACACCATTTCCGGTAAATTTTATTTCACTTCTTGCATTATTGCTAACAGATTTGTATATAAATTCAGATGAGACCAATTATATCTAACAAGCGAAAGAACAATCTTATTGTGTTCATAAGAAACAAAGTTCGATTTGATCGCTTCAGTGTCCAACACTCACTCATTGAAAAGAGGATCTTCATAAATTATTCTTCAATTTGCCTTTCCATATGCGTTTAGCGGCGACACTGATTCTGATTATAAGGTGCATTTCAATTACGGTGATTCATTGGATTCGCCTATTCAGCCATAAGAAAAGGAATGAAACAACCGTAGTATGCAAAGCGCTAGGTCTTTTTGATCAATTTATTGCAGGGAAAGCACATAAACTAAAATCTCTGTCATAGGTTATCGGTAGAATCAGATATTTACCACGGAGAACCAACGTATCGATGCATATTGCTTGCACTTCTGTGGTACTGCTTCTGCTGTTTCTGCTGCTGCTGCTGGTGATAATTTGCCAAATTTTGATTTATCGGTTCGGATATTATGAGGTCTGTTATTTTTATAATTCTCCGTCATAATACTTTTGTTGTGGAAGGTACGTAACTCTGTCATAGGTCATGAAGATAGCTCTATTGCAACCTTTCGATACTTGCAAACTGCTCGGATAGAAATATTAATATAATGTTAAAAATCGAACAGTTTCTATGAATGCGAAGGAAATATTACTGTTATAATCATATCTCTATGTAACCTTGTAAGGTTTCAGATTCCATCGCAAATACGAAAGCGTCGTCGTGTTGTTGATCTGTTCTCGCTGGAGAAACGAAAATCACTTTCATAGAAAGGATTTCACTCACAGTGAAGAATATTTACTTGGTCACTACACACTGCTGTGCCGGTTATATGTTCAAAAATGGTGCGGTCAGTATGGTGCATATCGATGAAAATTAATGCATAACGTGAAAGAATGTTGTATTTCTTAAGTCTGAATACATTGCAGCTTTCTTTATAGGTCAACTTTCCAAGAGTGCAAAAGAAAAGCAGGAGCTTGAATGAAACAAAAACAGTTAATAGAACAGATAATCCAAGTTGTAATTCACTTGTATTTACGATCATTAAATGTCTTTGATTGCGTTGAACAAATTTTCTAAGGATTGCTTTCTATGCCAGATGATATGTCATCATAATTAGGTTCATTTGATTCTTTGAGTAAAATAGTCCTAGACTTGCAAACACAACTGTATCATCTATGTAAGTAACTTTTACTCCCCATTTAGTGGTTTCCATGAAATGCGGACATCATTAACACTGATGTTCGTCTTTGGCTCAAGAAAAGTGGCACTATGACTCTTACTCGTCACCTGACACCGAATGCGATCGGTTCCAAAAAATTCGAGGAGGGAAAATTTCGAGGAAAAAATCAAACGAATGTCCGTCTCCGGTGGCCGAATTTGTTTTGAACTGGAGTCAGCATAACCTTAAAAACAGGATTTTCTGATGGAAAAACATTGAATTTCCAGATATCGAACCTATACTCTTAACACCGTTTTCTGTTTCCTCTGACAAACGAAAATACTCTCACACCGCCCTGCCCTGACTAGATGTTCTCCTTTTTTACCTGTGCAGCCGTTGCTGCACACGCATCCTCTGAAATAGTGTTGGAAACTGCAAGATTTTTTGTGGGGTCCCCAACAGGGCTTGCGGTGTGTGCTGGCATATGCTGCGATCGGAAGTCCCAACCGCAGCATATACCAGCAAGGCGGGGACCTCGAAAACGCGGTCGGCTCGAAAAAAAGTCGGGAATGGGGCCCCGAAATTCCCGAACCCCGCAACACATTAGTTTGAATATTCTTTGTATAGAAGTGTTTTTCGAATGCGGTATTTTTTGATCTATTATAGTCTCAAACTGTTCTAATGGCTTTCACTGATTCCAAATTCTTGTCGTTTTTCAGCTGTTTTGTTCTGGATAATATTGCAGCAGTAATTTTTTAATGTACAAGTGGTTTATAAATGTATGACTTGATTGTACACGATTCATCCCGTTTGTTTTTCGACATTTTTTGTTCTTCAATTGCTAGTAACGATTTGCAAACTAGGAATATTATCACTCATTGCAAATATGTTTAGGTACACATCAGTTGCAAGAGAAGAAAAGAATATCACTGAACTGACAGCATCGAAGTCATGATTCAGAATGATGGTAGCATAACTGTTTTTCTAAAAAAGCGGTGAGAAAATGACCAGGGCAAATTTGACACTCCAGTTCACACGTGTGAAATTTAATTCTGGAACTGATGGTGACAAAAAGAGGTATATCTACTAGTACTATCAAACCAAACGCATACACATGAAGTAGGTGAGGGAGCGACCAGCTGAAAAGTGAAATCTCAGAATAATTTTGACATGCTTTGTGGTGATTCTACCAAAAACCGATACTGGTTGATTATGATTATATATCTCATATTCATCCCAAGAAATATACAAACTGATTGCAACTTCGTGCAAAATATAATATCATAATCTTCGTGCAATATAATTTTGCTTTCAGTAACGTGCAAAATATAATATCAGGATTACTAAAGGCAAACTGAAAATTAGCAAACAAAGAAAGAGCATGTGATTGAATTTTATTATCAGACTGCTGGTCAACCGAAGTAAGTGCCTTGAAATACGAAAGAGTTTCATGACAAGATTCAGTTCTGCAGAAATATTTGGGGGAACTTTGCGTGAAGGTGGAAATACTTCCGTTTCGCTCCACTTATCACCGTTTTTATGCGGATTACTACGTCATAAATGTTCAATTCATGTGCATAAAGGACTATCATTTATTGGACCTTGTGGCTACCATGCGGTTCGTTGTTTTATTCGTTTTTAACAACACCGACGAGGCAAACTCTTCAGTTGAAGAAAGAGAATGATTTTCGGCNTTTATTTTGTAATAACACTATATTATAATACGAAACACAAAGTGTTCATATGATACAAACACAAAGGGATGAGATCCTCCAAGTAAGATATACGAAAGTGAAGTTTCATCATGCGAAACGATAGTGCATGATATCCGTGTACATCTTATACATATACACCTAAAGTACAAATTTGAAGGTTGATTTCACATATCACTTTGGTGTCCCTCACGAATTGTCTCTTTCGCACTCCGTCGCGACAATGATCAAGACACATTACGCACATTCTATAACTCAGCTACTGTGTTAAGGTACCTAATCGAATCTATCATAACTAAATGTTCACGGCTGTAATATCCCTTTGGGTGCATTTGATTCAATATCGATGGATGGAAAATCAGATGAAGTTATTTATTACAAAATTATAAAGGCAGCCATCGTTGTCATTAGATTTCTGGGTAGTTCTTTCTCAAGTTGTTGTTGTTTATCAAATTTTATTTCAAATCTCATAAGTGTTGCGATTTTCTCTTCTCTTCGCGTTTCTTTTTCCATATCAGAAAATTGTGTTCAGCTGACATGTACGCTGTTTCAAAGAAGAGGAATACAAATTCACAGCATGTCAGAAAACTTATTCCACACCATAATCCCAGTTGACCGCCAAAATCGGCAAGTAGATTTACCAACTGAAAAAAAACATAGTAAACTCGTTGTCAAGTACAAATACAAATTAAAAATTAAATATGAGAGAACGAGAGAATTAAACCTTCGCGCCGTAAACGTCCAAAATCGTTGTAAAGCATATAATGCTAAAAATGAGATGGATATACGAAGTTTTCGGTCAAGTTTAAGGTCAGTGTACGAAGTTTTTGTTCATACATACTTGGTTTGGACGACAGAAAAATTTTGGTACTGAGAAATGCTTATCCTCATTGGTCAAATCTGAACTTACAGACGACCTGAACGTAATGAACTAAGCGCTCCTAGTCAAACGTAAGATAGACGTATCATAGATAAATGACAATGGATACTATTCACCGCGAACATCAAAATGAGGACAATTATGAAAAGGCCGAGTGTAATGCGTGATTAATCAGGCTGAAAAAATATAAAGGATCATACGCCGTAAGCCTCTGATTCAGTCAACATCTCGAAATTGAGCTGCTCATAGAAAACTTCAATCATGGCACCATTCTCTCTGAAATCATCACAACCAGACACAAATATTTAATCATCAAGAAAACATTTTATACGCAGAACTTAGAAATCATGGTGCATCAATGTAGTATTGACTAAAAGAGGCCATATTTTATCGAATGGTCGGAGTGATGAAAAAGATAGATTTTATGGTTTCAAGATTGTCGTAATTAGGTTTCATGTCGAAAAGCTGATTCGACTGGACAGTTCATCCAAAGTCGTCGAACACCGCATTAAATCAATCTTAATGTCACATACCTACTCCGACAAGCATAGAGTTAGAGCTGAAAGTGGTTTGAAAATAGTGAAATGAAGCAATAACAGCATTATCACATGATTGACTTACTTGTAATGTTTATTGCACTCAGCTGGAGTACCGTTACAGGATCCGAGTTGAATCTGAAGTGACTGTGAAGGCCACTTAGCTGGAGAATAAGTGACCGAATAAGTGGACTGCTTACATGGCTGTTGACAGCGACACCGAAAACTACCGTGTAGACCGCCGAGTTCACTAGTGCGTTCGTCGAGGCACTTCCCTGAACGTAATCCCGACTTGATTTTTGCAACTGTGAAGCTGAACTTGTCGTATTTTCAATTGTATTCGTGGGAATGGAATCAATAAGAAACTAAAACGATGTCCAATCCAGGCTTACTAGCTACTGGATCTGTTGCATCACAATGTGTGTGTCCTTCTGGTACTGGGAAGCGAGGATCGCCACAGTGACAATCCTTCAAAACAAGCTGCTGGAAACATGAACGGTAACATCCCTGAAATTATTGCCGCGTTACTATCAACTGTGCGCATGTCTCCAGTAGAATCACAGTAATGTTTTTGCATCAGTAGTTCTCAGCCTTCATCCTGCTAAACGTCTGAGGTTGCGATTACTTCGAAATATCACATTATATTGCAAACGATATATATTCGCATCGCTTCCTTGAAAAATTCTTTTGCCTCATATTCCATTCAAAAGAAGATTGAGAGGCGTATATTTTATCCTCTTTGATACGTCCCTTCTTCCACCATCTTCTCAAATACATCCCTCCAAAAAGCCTTTGAATAGATTGTCTCTCTAGAGACTAGAAAAAATCACATCACGGTGGACTTTCATTAAGCAAATACTATTCACCTCTACAGAATACTCGTAGTTTTGATAAATGTAATCCGAAGTTCTACCATCTGGAACACAGTCACCATAAGGAGCTGGAAGCCTTGTCATCCTTCTCTGCAATTCAGCAGCATGTTTTAACTGGAGCATAGTTCCGTATATTTTCATTCCATGCTTGTTCATTGAATACTTTAGACGAACTATTTCACTGATAGATTAATCGCTTACAAGTCTCAGTCCAAACGACGAAACGTAACCGGTTGGTGCAGAATAACCAAATGTATCCGGAAAGGGAAAATCTTCTTTATCATGAATCGTCAACCGTACTCCTGTTGCTTCTGTTGTTGGCATGTAATCAGAAGCATTCACATAAACCAACATTCGAAGCCCATACATAGGTCCTGCAGTAGTATTCTTATAAACAACATCTACAGTAGCGAAACAATATAAAGTATTTGATCGTCAACAAAGCTGTTCAGTGCGATAATCAGTAAGCAAAGGTGTGCGATCGAACCACTCAAGTAATCAGAACTCAACAATTCATTCGCTTGATACCAAGAAAGATGAGATTTCTCCAAAGTAATCAGAAAATTGTAATGAAAACTTATGAACGCTAAGATGTCAGCAAATGCGGGATAATCACTTTCACAGAGAAAACGTAAGCTGATGGATGACCTGCACGAATGCTTGTGAGATTCACCGTTCTGTTATGGTTGAATGTGAAACAAGATCCGAAATTAGGATCAACATGTGTGAGAAAATCACTGAAACAAAGCCCAGTTGATTAAATAAAGTTTGGTAAATATTGTTAATGGTGTTTGTTTACGAATATGGATGAATACTCAAGTGTATATGAATGGCTCATTGAGTTATAGGAGAATAAAATTGAAGACAAGACAAACTTTTCTATGTCGCACGCGAGACCGTTGAATGAACATTTATGCACTAACTCCCTTTTAGTTGTCGACAGTCGTTGTCGATCTTCCATTGATAGTGCAGCCATTGCGAACATAATGTTCTCTTTTGCTTTTGTTACAATTGCCACCTTGAAATCGACTCTCTCAGAATCACTTCATGGAAATAGGCAAACACACAAAAAATGTTTTCTGAGTTGTGTGAAAGAACTTTATCTTCATGCAGAATCACCAGCAATCTACTTCGAAGCATTTTTGAGGTCAATGAACGAAATGATCTATCATTGATTTGACGAATAATTTCGTCGAGAATATGCGCTAAAAGATTCTTTTTTTTTTGTTACCTCATCTGTCATTCCAGCGAAACCCATTGCTTCAAGAAATCCGGGATCCTCTGTTGGAGGCCCTTCAGCTAAATACCTCCAAATTTCTATAATTTCTGATCTTCCATCATACGCCACGCAAAATTCACCCGATGGTGCGCAAAGACAAGGACTTTCAGCTTTACCAACGGCTCCAGGCGTAGAATCTACAAGTCAACATTCAACTGATATTTTCACCGCTCATGTTTCCAGTTCAAAATAAAAATTAGTGATTTTTTTCGAATGCATACGAGGATTTTAGATTCATTTTTGCTGAAGGCTGAAATTTTTTGTGGCGTCTGATAAAACTCGAACTTTTTTCGCAGAATGCGTGTTCATCGCAAGTATGACAAATCTCTTTGGTCCAAGTTGGTTCAAGATGACATGGCCATGCATCATTTGTATTTCGATCGAATGCGCAGATACAACGTTCAGATATCTCCACTGGTGTTTCTGTCTTATACATTTCACCTTCGCATTCCGCTGTTTCGTCTTCAACATCTTCACAGACGCACTTAGAGTAACCCTGAATGGTCAACGTTATCCAAATACTCTTCCATCGTTTGTTAAAAAATCACTCATGATTGAAAAAATTCAGTGTTCTCCAAATGATTTCATGCCGCATCTCAACATTCGATCAATCTGTTTAAGTGGCACGGTTTACCTACCGGTTCGAATACAGAGGCGTGTTTGATGTGCTCATGAGAATTGCTATATCGTTTTCGGCGTTTCCTGTTGTTGGACGAATCACCTGCTTTGCTCATTGCACCATCGAATGCAGATAGCTGTAATCAATTTGATAATACCAACTGATTGATCATCTACCCCTGCCTTTGCAGAAAACGCCGCCGTAAACTATTAATTAACACTTCTCTAATCTGATATTCGAAATGAAATATTAGAGTTAAGGATTAATTGTTGCAATTCCTTTTCAGCTAAATTTCTCCTTTTAGTTTTTCATCATATACACAAAATTGATCAGATAGCGCACAAAGATATGGATCCTCAGCTTTTGTAACGAGTACAACTGCTGAATTTCAGTGGAAACGTGTAGAATTTAAATAAATAAACTGAATTATTGAATTACCGAATAAATTTAGTTACCGAATTGTAGCTAACAATAAGATCGACACATAATGAAACTTTTCATGGAATATTTTGTGATGAGACAAGAAAATTTGTTTATTGAGGATCACTCGTTGATTAAACATTGAAGAAAGAAAAAACAACAAGATCAAATGCACAAACCGTTCGTTTCACCAAATCGACGTCAGTGGCTAGGCTAGCCTTGTAAGGATTCAAATTGCATAGGGTTATGGCTGGGAAAGGAGCAGTATCTAAATTAAAAGTATAATTCGCAATAAAATATGGAATACTGTAGATGTGTACAGAAATAATTATGAATCGACACACTCGAAGCTTTGGCTGTAGTTCAGAAATGGTTCCCATGATGGCCAGTTGGGACCCCGCGGAAAGCAGCCGGATGCGATTTAGGCTCATCCGCTTGGATTAGGCACAGGCACATTTTTAGGCTTACACTTATTATGCTCAGGCTTGGAGAGTGGTAGGCAAGCGATTTTTTGCAGATTGCCTAAGAGACCGACACGTCGGTTCTAAAAAGCATGAGACATGTCTACATCTTATCGTGAAACATGAAGCGGCGCCTTGACGCCGGTCGTTCCAATGTTAGAATGACTCTGCATGAGGGTCTGTCTCTCTCTTCTGGCTCAGGCATGTAAAAGATGATCCGAAACATCGCATTTGTACACTTTTGACGTATAAAAACGGCACCGCCAAAAGATTATAAATATGCAACGTACCTAGTAATGCTTACTAATGCTGTGCAGCATCCGTTAGATTGTTTGGGTGAGGGAATAGTATTGAGCTTCAGAACTTTAGGAGTGAACTAGTAAAGACTCCCACATTACAATTGATATGGAATTTAATAATTAATTAATCTGGAAAATTGAAGTTGTGTGAGATGAGTTAAACAGATTTCACATAAAGATTATTCTAAGAAATGGAAGGCAGAGAAATAAGTGCAATTCCCATTTTGTTATTAATTCTTATTCAGGGAACTTGATTCGTATCTTCTGGAAGGGAATATTAGGAGGAGGGGGGGGGATCAGAAG